TTAGTTAAAAGTTTTACCAGCCCTACCTACTTTTACTCTAAACTCTACGCCTGTTTTATTCCGCTAAACTTGTATCTAAAGTAAAATGATTGATTTTCAATAATCAATGAATATCCTAATATAGATAGATAGATAGTTGGTTAGTTGGTTAGTTAGGGATTGATGGGAAAAATAGGTAGGGAATTTAATACAAAGAGAGTATTATCTTAGGTTTGTTATTATTATTATTATTAATTTATGAGACTGTTGATTATTTGATGTTGTGTTGAAGCGATGGGTATGTGTCAACTGGAAACGGTTCACATCAAATATTGATAATAATAATAATAATAATGGTCGCCCTTTCATCCCTTCTTTCAAGCAGACTTCATCAGCTGTGTTCAATGTTTCAGTCACCCCTGAAGGAATCAAATCAACTCAGACAGACAGAAGATCTCGCTGCTTATTAAGCAGCTGATAGACCTAACTATCCTGTTGAATAATACTAATAATAATAATAATAATTTTTGCTGACAATATATTATTAATATTTAGATTATGAGATTTTGTAGGTATTCATATGAATTTCAATGTAGATTCTGTCATGAACCGACAGCAGTTAGAGAGGTTGGAGAAAACCACAGAGTAACTGAACAGTTGCTTTGTTCTAGTTTAGAATTACTCAGCAGTGGTACCCACCCACGACCCTATCAGGGATCGAACCTGGGACGTTCAGCCACTTTGGCGGGAATTTGATAACCTGTGACTTCAAACCTTGTCAATTTATAATATAGCAATATCCTCAGCCAATACGCCTTTGACAGTTTTACATCTCATCCAACAGTTGTACGACAACGCTGCATACCAAGTAATCCACAACGGGAAACTCACGGTGAAGACGGGAGTAAGACAAGACTTCATACTATCGCCAATGATTTTCCTGATTGCAGTAGATTGGATAATGCAACAGACAGCGGACATTGAGGAAACAGGCATAAAATGGACTCACACAAAACACTTGGAGGATCTGGACTTCGCCGTTGATATATGTCTGATTTCCCACAAACTGGAAGACATGCAAGCGAAAAGCAACAATTTGGCAGAAGAAGCATCAAAGATAGGACTTCAGGTGAACACAGAGAAAACAGAGGTGATGAAGATTCCTGGTCAACACCAACAACGGCAACAACAACAGACAACAATCAGCGTAAATGGGAGGAACCTCAAAGAAACAACCTCCTTTACCTACCTGGGAAGCATCGTCTCAACTACAGGCCAACGGAACTGACGAGGATATCAAAGCAAGAATCGGAAAAGCAAGACAAGCTTTCAATACTCTCAAGTCTGTGTGGAGGTCAACAGCACTCAGCATCAAAAATAAGATCCGGATTTTCAACTCCAATGTGAAGTCAGTCAGTGCTACTATATGGATCAGAGACTTGGCCAGCGCGTCATAAAGAGCATTTCCAACAAGCTACAGACCTTCATTAACAGTTGTCTTCGCTCAATACTCAAGATCAGATGGTCAGAAAAGACCAGCAACAAGGATCTCTGGGAGCGAACCAACCAGGAACCGATTGTGAGACAAATAGGCAGGAATAAGTGGAGGCGGATTGGCTATACTCTGAGGAAACCATCAAGTGACATCACTAGACAAGCCATTGCTCGAGTGGAACCCGAAAGGGAAGTGGCGAGTTGGTCGTCAGTGCAAGGGTGACTTGGAGGAGGTGATGTGAAGAGGAGATGAAAACGTGTGGGCAGACTTGGAGCCAGGTGAAGACTCTAGCAGAGAACCGAACTCAATGGAGACGCACGGCTGAAGCCCTATGTTCCTCTAGGAATTAAAGGAAACAATAATAATTATATCTCAAGAAACGTATGTCTAAAAGGAAGCAGATATTCGTAAAGTTCAGTTATAAGACACCCTGTGGATATCTCGGGGCATTTCGTCGAGATTTTCAAATCCTTAGAAATAATAAACATAAAAGGGACAGCAAATTTACTATGATTTGTTGAAGTAATTGTATTCAGGAGATTCAAAACGAACTTACGCATAGAGAAAGAGAGTTTAATCACAATCTCTCACTCCCTTGATCACTGCATTTCGATTACATTGATTAGTCATCCATATTTGTGATTTTAGCTCACTGAGCAAGTCTTCAGTCTCGTGATCACCCACTCCCTTCTTTTTGATCTTGAAGGTGCATAAATTGATGGTAACTTAAGCTAAAAATTGTAATGCTGCTTATATTTCGGATGTGCTAATTTTATAATGTCTTCTCTACTACCATTCAAACACTGAAGTATTTTATTGCCATTATTTATAACCATTGTAATTTCTCGCATTTCCATACAAATAAAGGAGATGCATGTTTCACAGAGTCTGTTAATTGGCACTATGGCATATCAATGGACAACGATTTTCATGTCTAACATAATGAACACTCAATGAGATTTATGCAATATCACCCACCAGTTGCACCTAGAAATCATTAACCTGGTTAGTTAAAAACTCGTTTACCTCGAAAGGCAATCCCTAGGATCAGCTAAATAGTCATAAACTAGTCAACTCTAATTCAACAGCTTTTTGTTCAAGCTGTTTTCGTGTTTGACTTTCCACTGTATTTGATCAGGGATGCTACCTATTCTACAGGACTTGGCTGTCATAACTGACTCACCCAGTGGATAGCACTTCGGAATTTGAAACAATGTGTGCCGGACTCCAGTAACAGCAGCGGTTTGATCGCTGATGAAATCTCAGCACGGATACAGAAGGCTCGTTTGGCATACGCCAACTTACGCCATCTCTGGTGTAGAATTGATATCCGGCTGTCGATCAGTAGGCGAGTGTACTGCTCAGCAGTTCTGTCTCTCTGTCCCCTTTTATGGCTGTGATGTATGGCCAATGAAAGTGGAAGACATGAAAAGCCTGGCTAGCTGTCTTTGATCATAGGTGTCTGCGTTCTATCTAACGTATTGGTGGTATAATAGGGTCAGTAATATTGGGGTTAGGCCTCAGTCGAGCATTAGGCAAGGATGGGAAATCAATCGATGATTTTGTGAAGTTCCATCGATTGAGATCGGTAGGATATGTGTCACTCATGCCTAGCCATCGCCTTCCTCAACGAGCAATGTTAGCTGACACAGGATAGATCTGGCTGGAAAAGAGCCAGTGTTGGTCAAACCAAACATGGCATTAGTCCATAAGATCCATAACAGTTAGTTTAAGCCACTTAAGGAAGTATAGACTTCCTAGTTAGGGCCAGCAGGATTATAAAAATCCAATGGCTTCAGATAATGGGTGATATGGCTCAAAATCGTTCTTAGTGAATGGCGCAGATGCCTTCACTACTTTTGATTTATCATATCCCATAAAACTTTATTGTTTTTCCATATTAATATTCTTTTCCCCTCACACCACTTCATTATCTGCCTTCCGAACCTCCCTTTACTGTCTTCTCTTGTTTTGTGTGCCACATGGAGTGTGGTAAGTCTAACTGCTGCACATCTGTACCAAGTTTTTTGTTAAAACCAGTGAGTCAACCACTAAAGGTGCCAGTTGCCCTGTAAATACATTTGAAGTGTACGTTGACCCAGAGAGTGTCGTGCATATTGTTGAGTTCCGTATTTTCTAGCTACAATACAGTAATTTTGCTCAGGAAGTACATAAGGCAGCCTCCTCCATTACCACTGTTCATGTTACATCGAAAGTGTGTGTACCCACCGATGCTTCTCTCTTCGTCTGGTATATTGGAGTTACACCAAGATTCACTAACATCAATTATGGGGGTGTATATACCAGTGTGTGTGCCCTAAACATCAGAAGTTTGTTTAGGATAGATCTAGCATTAATAAGGATTCGGTAAAATTACAGTTTGAATAATGTTCGAAATATCTGGGGTCGTTAATCAGGCTCAAGTGTGGTTCTACGTGTCATGATGACTATGTATTGCAAGTAGTGTCAGTATCATGCTCCTTTTGGTGAATAATGATTTGTAGTATTGGGTTCGCTATCGAATAAGGTAGTTCTATTCTTAGGTAAGTTGGAGTTCTCTTGCTTTGTGTGCTACATGGAGTGAAAGTGGCAACTTGAACTGTTGCGCATCTGTGCAAAGTTCTACACTGAAACCAGTCCATCAATCAGTAGCAATTCAGGTATATCTACCTGGTAAGTCCTAAATAGGAAGGGACTCGCACCCTGGATTTTAGTGCTAGTTACCACCAACCAAGTAAGATTTCAACAGCTGTCTAATTTAATTTACTTCTTAATGAATGAAATGAAACCTCCATAAACCGAAAGACTTAATTACCTTGTCAATGTAACATAAAGGAATTTCTGATTGGACCCTAGTAACTAGTTTTATGTGTCTAGTCCTTTTTTTGGTGCAGACTGAATTCTGTCAGTCAAGTTTGCAATGTGGCCACCATTCTAGGTAGCCCGCCATCACGGTGTACATTGATTAGATGATATTCGATAGTTGGAGGCTATTGGCAAGAAGCCCAGGCTTGAACCTAGGCTTCGTCCTAGTTGGCACTTATCAGTCAGCAAGGCGTATCTGCAGTCACCTTGAAGGAACTCATTTCCCTTCTGAGATTTGAACTCGCCTCACCCAATGCTGCATTGCAAACCTGACTGATAGAATTCAGCCTGCACCAAAGAAAAAACTAGACACGTCACACTAGTTACTAGTGTCCAATAAAAGTATCCACTACAGTCCTACAGGTGGTCAATCGCCAGTCCAAATAGCTGCTCAGTGGTAACATCTCTGACTGCAGCACTGGGTGACGCGGGTTCGAATCTTAGAAGGGACAAAAGTTCCTTCAAGGTGATTGCACATGCGCTTTGCTGACTGGTGAGTGCCAACCAGCACGAAACCTAGGTTCAAGGCTTCCTTCCGATTGCCTCCAACCATCTAATATCATCAAATAAAGGAATCTTAGCTAGTGTTTCCTAACAGCGACCTACCAAATAAACAAATGTGAATACATACAACTGTAATAGACGAACAAATAAAACCTACTTGTATTCACTGTCAACACTGCTGCACTGATGTCTATCCAATCCTGTTGAAGTATTCTCTTCCGATTTACCATGCCTGACATGATCAATAATTTTAAATTCGATCATATTACTACTATCGTCATTACTAATTTTAATTATAGGTGTCTTAATATCACTCAGTTGGCTTTTCTCATTGCAGATGAACTGGAAGCCTGTTTCACCACTGTCACTTCTACCTAATGGAGGTAATCTTCGTCTTGTTGTAATACAATCCACCGTTTCCTCTCCCACTTCCCCATCGTCTTCCTTCATTGTTATTGTTGTTGTTGTGGTTGTTGCCGCCGTCGCTGTCGTTGTCGTTGGGTGAATCAATCTCAAGTGTTGCGCTGAATTATGATTTATCAATTGCTGACCTGAAAACATGTCGCTATTGTCTTTATTAAACAATAATGTATCACTTCCATAACTGATATCACTTCTTTTATAATGATTCGTTAGTCTACAGGTGGAAAGAGCATCCTTATTCTTATCATCATTAATACAGGTTAGTACAGGCGACAGTTGTCTCTGACATCTAGACTGATCCAGTATGTTGAGCATTGAACAATTGGAATAAAGGCCACCAGATAAACATGAAGACTGTGGTGATAGGCCAGTTTTCATTTCAGTCAGATTACTTTGTAGTGATGTTGACATTGAAGGTATATCACGTGTTCTTGTTGTAGGGTTGTTGCTGTTGTTGTTGTTTTCCAACAGTACTGTTGGACCAATATTCATTCTGTTAGAAAAAAAAAGAAAAAGGGGAAAAAATCGATGAGGCTGGAACTTAGTATGCAAAAGAATAAAATTTAGTGATTAGTCAAGATAATCATAACAGTCTTACATGAGATTAGTTGTCCGGTTGAACAGTTTCGTAATAACATCTCTTACTGCAGCAGGAGGTGACAGGAGGTTGCTGAAGGGTGCCAGTCAGCAAGAAACGTCAATTGAGGCCTGCCTATCGATTGCCTTCATGTATCTAACACTAACTACAAAAGTGTGTCGTGATGGTGAGTCTCCTGGATTGGTGACCACACCGCAAATAGACTAGTAGAATCCAGTCAATATCAGTCAACGATCGTTTTGGCGAATGTACAATGCCTCTCTACTTCCCTCCACATGTTTACTGGGCAATATGTTGTTGTCTGGTGTACTGGCAGAGTTCCCTGTTGTTTTTCTTTTCTCCAGGGACTTGAGGGCTTCAGCGTCGAACGAAGTCACCTATCATTCGTTGTTAAAAGTTATGAAAGTCTTGATGACGTCCATCCTCCAAGGAAATAGCATAGCAACCCGAAAATGGCTACAATATTGATCTGAATTCCAGTTTATACTCACTATTATCATGATTGGCAAAGATTTGAAAGGATTGAGACGTATGGTACTAAATACCCTCATAAATAATTTTTGAGACTGAATTTTTTTAGTTTTTTTCCATTAAATAGCATATTATCTTCAAACCTCTATTCGAAATTTTTTTCAGTCACTTGAAAACTCTCAAGATCACGAAAAGATGCGTCATTTTCCATCTTCATATCTCTTTTTTTTTAAAGTAAAACACCATTTGGAAGGCTTGAGCAGTAGTCATATGCTTCAAGGAGGCTTTTTATTGCTTAAAAACATCAGTTAGATTGGGACTATTTCGGTAGTGTCTAGTCACAAACAAAGTCACTACATTTTTTGGAGTCAACTAAATCGTTTGCAAAGAAATTCACTCACGAGTGGTATTTAAATTAGGATTCAATGTAATGCAAATCAGTAAAAGGTGGAACAGAAAAGCCTCAGTGTTTGTCGCACAGACTGTCCATTTCGAACTTAGTTTATCATCAATCATCCTGAACAGCGTAAAACTAATACGACGTACATGATAAGTGCGACGTGTTTTTTAATGTTTCTGTTAGTGCCACAGTAATATTAAAACAGTCTACCTAGAAATTTAAAGAGACGAACACTTCAAACAACTTATCGCATTCACAGAATTGACTACAGTAGGAAAAGAACAAATTTAGTACTACGAAATCACAACATAGATGTGAAATTTTCATTTCAGTTTTCATTGGTTAGATCGAAATGTTCGGCCTGCGTCGACACTTCGGCTCCTTAGCGGGGACGCATTAACGATATCTGAGGATTGGCCTAAAGTTATTTACTGAATACTGACTAGCAGTGGGATGCAGGACTCTGATTTCTTCCTACAGGCATATCCAGGTGACGAGTCCCAAACAGGACGAAACTGGTATGCTGAATTCCACTGCTAGTCACTATCAACCAAACAAATGTGGAATATTTAAAAGATTAGAATATCGTGGTGGAATAAGAGAGGCTTTATTTCATGCAATGGTTGATTTGATGCTGGCTAGCAAAAGAATCTAGGATGAATGTTTCGTCTTATTTTGAGCTCGTCACTTGAATGTACTTGCTCTCTCAATAATTCAACTAAGGTTGAAATCCAGCACATATCCTATTAAAGGTCAGGGCGCTATCCATCAAACCAGTATGTCAGGAGAGCCACGTCTAGTGTATCTTCAACTTTTTCTTTCTCTTCATTTCAAATGTCTACCTTTATTTTCTAAGTTTTGTTCAATTCATTTGTCTAATTCCTGGAAATGTGATAAACTTTTAGTATACTTGTGGTGTTTACCCGTGTTGTTCAATCCATACTTATTTAATTCGTGAAATTAGATTGTTTTATTGACTTCAAACCTGGTCTGATAACCAAACTTTCCTCTTTTTTGATCATGATACCAGCTAGTAAACTGGGAGAGTTTTAGAAAATGCAGGAGATAAGAACCAAACGTAGACTATATCTGCGGTTACCAAGCTAAACTACTGGACCACAACTCTGGATTGTAAAACAAAACTTTGGGACTCATCAGCAGTGCGCACTCACCATCAGGACTCGAACCCAAGGCCATCTAGCTACGAGGAAGCTGGCATACCATTTACCCACTGTGACCCAATCGAATTGGTCATAAGTTCTAGCTTCTGCCAATTCGTGATATTTCCGCTTGAGTGATCTACAAGCTTGCCTTGTAACCGGAAGATCCTGGGTTAGAATCCCGATGACTGCCTATTTCCGATGAGTCACAAAGTTGGCGAATTCAGCTGTCCAGTACGTCCTGGTTTTCAATGGTTCTCTAACCGATACCAATCCTTGATTAAACCTGAAATTGAGTGTAATTCCCAGATACATGAGTTCAAATTTTACTTCACTTGTCGGCAAGACTATCTGAGACAGTCAGGTGATAGTAGACTATGATCGATGTGGTGCGTGATGATTGGGAAGGTGATTTGAATATCTGAGTCGGTGCAACCAGCCCAGCCTCCGAATCACTAGTCTGGATTTCTGCCACTACGGTCAACTATAAATATTCCAACATTAGTAGCTATTTTTGGAAATAACTGAAAAATATCTTATTGCTGGAAGCTCCCCAGTTTTCTAAGGTAAGTTCTTAACACAATTTGATGCATCGTGTGTTAATTTTCAAATGAAATATAAGATCGGCTTAAGTTAATAAAAATGAAGGTGTGTCACATTTGACGGCAAATTGACAGTAGCTACAAAATGGAGTGAAAAAGGCACGATAATGTTGTTTGATAACTCATCAGTCTAATGGATAACATTTTGAAGTCTTAATAGTTGGTTGTTGAGTTTCAGTCTCAGTGGCGTCACCATGACTTACAGGTGGATTCACATACATCAAACTGATAAGTTCTAAATCGTTCAAAAAGCTCGTCGTCGATTCCACCTCTAGCTACTGTCAACCTTGAGGCCCGTTATTGTAACTCTATCAATGCACAATAAGACAAAATTCAAAGAAAAAAGTTCGCTTATCGACAAAGTTATCTTCAAAGGCTGTATAATCGTATTTTTTGTTTAATACTGATGTTGCTAAGGTAACGTAATTTGAGGCGGTTAACCACTAGTGTTTTCTAAAGGTTGGAAGAAAACCATTCAAAAGTTACCGACACAACAGAAGTAAGGGTGTGAGATTTTTCTATGGAGAAGACCTTTACTTTAAGATAGAAACAAGGTAATTAAATGTCTACTTAACAGGTGTGAATTAGGCGAGAACAAAACACTCATCTCAGTCAGATATATAAATGGGATATGTAGGCGTAGTAATAACGATGTATTACTTACTAAGCATTAAGGCAAATAAGTAGGAAGAGGTTTAAGACACGGGGTAGAATGAGTAGTAGGACAAGCCTTTTCTGCACATAGTGTTTAGTATTTTGTTGCCGGAACCCTAGAGCTACCGCCATACACAAGTTTGGGGGTCATTTTCCGTATTTTTAAAACGGAGTGAGAACGCCTTGACTTTAAAAAGCCAGACAGTAGAAGGCTGCCAGTTTGTAGTCCATATAAGTTGAAATGTCAGCGAAAACACCTGAAGATTGTTACAGAACAAATTTACCACAAAATATTAAAAATGAAACCGTTAGGAAAGGGAATTAAAGATTCAGAAATACGCAATGAGTTGTGAAAAAAAATAAAAGATAACTTGATAAATGAAAGTTCATTTATCGACCGAATCAACCTCAGACACTGTACAGTAGTAACTATGCCTACTAAAACATATAATCTCCAAAGTGTGTCAATAGTACAATGCTCACCAACCTCATACGTCGTCCTGGTTCAATTCCCTGACGATGTACTGCCTAAACCCCACCTAGTTTAGTAGCCAATTGTAGGCTTTGGAGATCGGGATGGTTAGGCTTGGAGCAAGTAACCTTACATCACAAAAATAATACTACTAGTACAAAAAATGAAGAAGCTTGGAGGGAGTTTAAGATTTTCGTAGGTTTTGTGGCTAACAGTGAGGACAAACTCCTTACTAGTTATCTTACTTTTTAACAGAGTACAAGTATGCCTGTACAACCTCTGAAGATGACTTCACTCCATGTGGGGGAATAACAGTTAAACATCTTCCTCATTGATACAGTGTTCTGGATTGATAAATACATTTTATTATTACTGTTTTAAATATGCGTAGGCACAGACTAATTTAATATTTGACAAGAAAGACATCACTAGTAAGAAGCAGATAAACTCCCACATTGTCTATGTCTACCTGTTTTAGTTGAGATACACACTAAACTAGTTATTGATCCTAGACATAACACAAATTACAAGGAGAGCTGAGCTGCATCGTTGGCACAGCGGTTAGGACGCTTGCCGACCATGCACTTGGTCCGACGCACATCTGATATCAATGGTCGGCCTGCTAAATTTGGGCTACCGATATCATATGTTGAAAATTCCATAGCTGTACCAAAAAATACTGTGTGGAATCAATCTAAATATATAAATAAGAAAATAATAATAAAAACGCAGTAAGGGGATAAGATTAAGTCTTTGGAACAACACTGAGAATAAAATGACAGACAATGCTTAAGAAGGCCAATGGAAATACTTTCTATGGGTTAAAATTCATAAAGAGAGGATTCTTTTCTTACAAGGGTAGCCTTGATTGATAGTGTTCATCGAGTTTGATTTCTCATGTTAACTCCAACTGTGTATACAAATTTACATGTATCTGCGGGTGTAGTTACACTGGGAGAACAGAAAGAAGGGCACACCTCCGATTTTCTGAACATGTGCCGAAAAGCCTACGTCTCAAGAGAATAAACTCTTATAATAGCGCTGTTACCAGACATCTCCCCGATATGGGTCACGAAATCCTTTAAAATTATCAACTGACAAAGGAACTCGAATCTCCTCAGGTTTGCCGAAACAA